CAGATTTTAATTCGGGTTAGTCAGAGTTACGGCTCATTGGAGTGGATTATAGGTGCTCGAAACTCTGTCAGACTCTGTCAGGCAAATCAACTTTGTAGCACCATAATCATTGGCTTTTGTCAACTCGGAATCGTAAACAAAAACTCTGCTCTGCTCTCTCTCTCTCAGGCAGTGCAAACTATAATAATCCGTAAAATAAAACTTTCTAGTTCAGAGAGTTCTCTCCTCCCCGAGAGTGTGCACAAGCAGGGGGGGGCGGAGGTGCGGCATGTGGCAGTGTTCGGGTCCGTGCCTCCCAAGTATGCAATAAAATAAAATATTTATTCATGCATGCGCATGCAAACAAGTGCGCGGCAAATTTCGCCTGAATTTTTTTTTATTTCCATGGAATAAAACCCAAATAAAATAAACCCCCCCAGCAAGCACTTGCTTTGTGGCAGTTCCGGCGTTGCGTTACTCTATAAAGAATTTTAGAAACTTGGATGCAACTTAAGGTTGAGAGAAACCAAATAAGTAAAGTTTATTTTGTACACTAAAGATTTAGGTTGAAGCATGATCAACTCATTAATGTTGGACACATAAAGTTCGGGGATTGCTGTGTAAAAATTACACCAAAATGTCCGGCCTGGAAGCTCAAAACCATATCTGCCTCTCTCCTATTTATATTAGTCCTTTAATACAAAACTTCTTCGTGTGGCAAAGCCACAACAAATTTATTTCTCATTCAAAAATAAAATAATACCCAGGACCCTTTTTATTTTATAACAAAACTTATTTCCCCCCTTTAGGTGACAAGAGAATTGTTCAATGTGCTGTTGATTGATTTACAATTTTATCCAATGTTTGTGTTTTCATTTCCTTTTTAGGGGCCTCGGAGGATAAACATTTGTCATCGGATTATGGCAATAAAAGATTAAATGACTGGTGAAACGAGACCAAATAATAAAAGTAGTAACAAACAAACGGAAAACAAAATAAAATAACATTTATGTAGATTTGTGTGCTTAATGTTTTTAGGGATGTCATGCGGTGGGGCCCAGCCATCAAAAGATTTGCATAGAGCAATTACAAATATAGAAACCGAAAACCAAAGCCTAAAGGCAGCTGCTACATGAAAATGAATTTCAATTAAATTAAAACCCCCCATAAAAGGTCTCCAAAAATACAAGTGTCCAGCATGCCAATAGAGATGAAAAGTTTAAATTCAATTAAACTAAAGTTTTGGCTCGGAAGTAAATTCCTCAACATTTTATTTCCACATACTCGAATGTGCAGCTATGATTGGATCGAGGACATTAGCTGAAAAGAGCGCAACTTGGCAACAAAAAATAAATGCAGTCAACTTGAGTTAAGAATGATGGAAGATGGAAGCCAAGTCTTCTGCCCCAACGTTTGTCTGGAGATGAAGAGATGTAGTTCCGTCGCCTCCTCCATCGTGGACCACTGTCTGAGTGCGTTCGATGATGAGCCAATGACCATGAACTTTATGGACATTTTGCGGTTAAACCTTGTTTCTTTCTGCACTTTCTCTTTCTGTATGTGTTTGTGTGTGTTTCTGTGTTATTGGCAAACATTTTTGCTTGCTTGGAAAATATTTGTGCCACTCGAAGGGAAGCAATGTCTCTGCTTTTCTAGCATACATTTTGTGGACTGCAAGCAGCCGCAGGCGAACAAAATGTGCAGCATATTAAACACACTCTGTCGTCGCTGAGTTGATTTTCCATGGAGTCATTGAACCGAAAAGGGCATTAAGCTGCCAATTTGCATGACAGACTGCCAGCCAGTGAGTGCCAGTGATGGAAATGGAAATGGGATTCCCGCATGCATGAGCTGACCCAAAGGCAGCCTCTGAATAAACCCAAGTGGACAGCATCCTGTGGTGAAGAGCGTCTTAAAGTATTCCATTTATAACGGATTCAATGACCAGAAAATATAGTTTATAGTAAAGGAGGAATACTTCTCACTTCATGACATTTCACACAGATTTTCCTGTTCTATTGTTGAATTTAATATTATTGTTCTAGCAACAGCAACACCTCCAGGGAAAATGCCATTCAATAAGTTGTTCTTTCATCACTTTCAATGTGATAGTATATAACACTTAACAATCGTTTTGTATAAAGCTTAGAGCTGTCTTTAATTATCACCAAACAGCAAAGGCAAGAGACGGAAATACTTGGAAATACTTTCCAAAAATAAAAACTAATTGTTGCACCGTGCAGCAGCGCTCCTGCTGAATGCATCAACAAGAATAAAGCGACTCGACAACTGCTGGTGCAGTTGCTCCTCATGGAGGTTGTTGCCCCTGGGCGTATTGTAAATTTTAATGACCGCGACAAAGGGGTTAAGGATAGTACACGACCAGAGCTGAGACCCGTCCCAGTGCCGACTCTCTGCAATGAGCAAAAATTCAACAATGACAAAAAAGCAAACAGAAAAAATAAAACGAAAATAAAACCAGAGTGAAAATAAAATATTCCATAATAATGCATAAAATAAAGGAAATGGGGGGCCTCGGCAGTCGAGACTCAAAAAGAATTGAGTTCTCTCCGCATAAAATTCACACGCAACACGGAGCGGCGCCTGGACTGGAGTGGAGTAGAGTGGAGTGTTGTTCTCCATAAAATAAATGCGAATGTTGGCATGGAGTGGGATGGGCTGGGTGAATACACAAGTACGGAGGAGTACCACGGATATTGTCAACGACATTTCTTGTGGATTTTTTTTGGGTTGCTGCTGCTGTTGGGGCTGTGGCGCACTTTATATCAACTTTAAATCCGCAAAATGGGTTTTTCTTGTGGATTTGCATAGATTAAACTGCAATGTCTCTCTACCCTCTACTCCACTCTACTCTACTTTAAGTATGCACAACACAATATACAAGTATAAGGAATTATATACCTAATATTTTCTTGGTGCCGGACACTGGTCGTTGGTCAGAGTTCCTCGTTGTTGTTGTTGGTTGTTGGCTACCTCGTTATGGGTTGTTTGGCAAGTATTTGTTAAGCCAGAATCACTGGCTCGTGTCCCATTTCCCTTTTTTTCCCATTTTTGGGGTTCTGTTGAACTTCTGGCCAACATTTTGCTGTTGGCTTTCGGTCTTTTGTCATCGATTTTGTGGTTCAACTGCGTTGTGTGGCCACTCCTGACAGCCATTGCTTTTTGCTCTGCGATTCTTTAGTTTTTGGCGGTACTTTTTTGTTTTTGGGGGGCTCGGGCAAAAGTTTTTGTGTCGCATGAAAACTCATTTAAAGTTTGGAAAGTGTTGATAGATGACTGGCAGCCAGCCAGCCACGCCCCTGTGGGCGCACCCTGTCTTAGAAGCGTCCCATTCCCCCTGCCGACAATTTTTGCCCTGTTCTGTTTTGGCTAAGGCTGTTTTCATTAGCCCAGTCTCAGTCTCAGTCCCAGTCCCCGGTCACCGAGGATTAGGCTGACACGTGACGCACTTCAGCTTTGGGGCTCGGCTCCCTTGCCTCTCCCTCCACAAAAATAAAAATAAAACATCAAAAAAGGAGACAACAAGAAAACTTGTTGATAGTTGTTTGACAAAAGCTTAGGGCTTGCCAGATGGTTGGGACGGGGAGGGGACAGGAACTGATTCACTTTAAAAAGCAACACGTGTCGTGCTGGAGTCAGAACCTGGCCCATTCCTGGGGCATGGCCCCACTAAATGGCACAATGATTGATGTGTGGCACAAAAGTGTCTGGGCACAACGTCACTTTCCAAATTCCGGAGCAATTGACGGGCCACATGCGATAAAAAGGGAAAACAGCAACCCAGATTTTGGGTCAACTGTCAACTCAATTGTGTGTAGGATTCCCCTAATTTCGTACCACACATGGAAGAATTATAAAAGGCTTTTAATGTCGAGCGTCGAGAGTGTCCTGTCCGGAGCTATGTAGTTGCCGTAGAACCACGTCAAAATGGGGAGCCAGGCAATCAGAAAATGCCAAGTGCACTCCTCCATCGGTTCCAACGGCCACTCCAGCCCCACAAAGGAGCTGAAAGTACTGAAAAGCATTTTCGTTCCCATCCGACCGACAAAAATGGACGAAAAAAAGCTCTCAATTTGTTGCTGAATTAAGCCATGGCGCAGAAGCGAGTCAGAGAGTGCTACATGGGGTAGGATGGTCGGCAGGGGGGCGGCATTCAGCCTGATTTTTTGGGGTCTCCGACCACCACCTGTTGTAGTTTTTGTTGCTTTGTTAATCTGATGGTAGCCAAGATCAAGCCATAAACTATTGACCCACTCACCAAGGAGACTGTGGATGAAAGAGCCTCAAGTAAAGTCAAAGTTCTGCGGAGGCGAGCAGACAGCCACTTTCAGCCTTTCATCTTGATGGTATTTTTGTATGGGAAACTAAACATTAAACACCATAGAAGCAATTGGTTTCTGTTTGTTTTCGTTCTTTAATTGCATGAATAAGGAAAGCAGCGAAAATAACATATTTTTGAGAGTTCAGTTGGGATTCCAAGTGCAGACCGATGGATTGGTGGCGTTCTCCAGTATCCAGTGGCCAAGGTCTGAATTTTCATTAATATTTTGCAAATACTTCGAATTGTTGAATGTCCCAGGGAGCCGCTTGTCACATGCTCTTGGTGTGGGAGCCACTCGATCTAATGATCTGGAGGCGTCAGGTCATTCAATTTCTAAGAAAGTTCTAGCTAAATGCAGCCACAGACTCATTTGTTTAATAATTTATTTTGTTGGGATGATTTTCCGTGACTCCATATCGATACCCTGCTGTCGAAACTACTCTGAAGTGCTACCCTGAGAGTTGCTGCAGCGCCTGCAAATTTTAATTAAATTCCAATAAAAATATACAGAGGCAAAGCAAACAAGGTGAATCACCGCCAAATAAGAAGAAAGACCCAGAATCTCAGGAGTAAAAAGCAGTCTCTTTCTTCAGAGGCACTCTGTCCCTTTCTTCTTGTTGGAGAACAACACACAGACACAAAGACCACCATTTTCTTTCCACTTAATAAAAAAAATGTATTTTGATGCACGAAACTGAATTAGTATTTCGTTTAGCATTTTCTTTATTGAACAATCATTTCGTGTTTGTCTTCTCCTCCTTGGCTACGCAGGCTACAATTTTCACCTTGTCGACCTTGAGGACAAATTCTTTCTCGCGGAATTCCACATCGTTCAGCTTGAGGGTCCACACATCGTCGCACATCTGGTATGTTTCCAGCTTCATAGCCTTAAAGGCGAGTTGCGACTTGGCATTCTGTTTGAGGCCCTCGTTCATGCTCTTGTCGAACTGAAGGAGCACCGTGCGGGCCAGGTCAGGGGTCATCTCACCCTTCTGCAACGGGGAAGGGCAAGAATTAATATAACTTGCAGTAATTCAGCATTTGCACTCACCTGAACGCATTCGGTGAGAGTCTCCTGCAGCGTGATGCCCAGAGTGGTCGTGCGGTAGAGCTGATAGGCCATTGTGATCTTCCCTTTTGCTTGAAATTACTTTATACGTTTTCTAATTGTAAGAGCTCAAGCTAAGAAAAACTTCACAAATTTAGCGATGTGACAAGTTGATATCGATATGCGCAACTAAGTCAAAAGCTGGTTGCCATGAAACTTAATATCGACTGTAAATTAACATAAATTCATGCTCGGGAATCTGTTAACTGATTTATGTTGTGAATTTTGTTACCGATTATTTACTGTAAAAGCTTTTGCGCTCTCCAGGGTAATCTTCTCAACGTCTTATCTGGCTTGTACGAGCATTTGCCCTGCTCCCGATCTATGCTGCGCACATGCATGGTTGGGTGTCTCTAATACAGTGTTTGTTGACCAGCAGATATCGCAAAAAAACGACTTTAGGCCAAATCAAATCATCTCCGACTTTCCCATCAACCTTTGGTTTAATTTCTCAGTTCAAACCTGGAAGCTAAACACTCGGGAACAAAAAAAAACAAATAATTATTAACAATGCAAGAAGCCAGTCAACCCATTCAGTACGGAAATCTGGAAGGACACGGAGCGGAGCTGCTCCCCATGGGGCCATACGGATCGTATGGCTCTGGCGATCCGGAGGGTCAGCCGAAAAACATTGGATTCAACGATGACAGCATCCGACGTGGATTCATACGCAAGGTCTACCTCATACTGATGGCCCAACTGGTGGCCACCTTCGGGGCCGTCTCGATCTTTGTGTTCAACGATAACGTCAAGATGTACGCCCTGCAGAATGGATGGGTCTTCTGGTTGGCGCTGCTGCTGATGGTGGCCACGCTGCTGGGGCTGGTGTGCAGCGAGAGTCTGCGCCGCCAGACGCCGCAGAACTTCATCTTCCTGGGCGGCTTCACCGTGGCTCAGTCCCTGCTGCTGGGCGTGTCCGCCTGTCGCTTTGCTTCCACAGAGGTCCTGATGGCTGTGGGCATCACGGCTGCTGTCTGCCTGGCCCTCACATTGTTCGCCATGCAGACAAAGTACGACTTCACCATGATGGGTGGCCTGCTCATCACACTGCTGGTGATTCTCTTGATCTTTGGCCTTGTGGCTGTGTTTGTGGGTGGCAGCATGCTCATCACCCTCATCTATGCCTCGGCCAGCGCCCTGCTGTTCTCCATGTACCTGATCTACGACACACAACTGATGATGGGTGGCCGCCACCGATACTCCATCAGTCCCGAGGAGTATATCTTTGCTGCCCTGAATCTCTACCTGGACATAATCAACATATTCCTGGACATTCTGGTCATAATTGGAGGATCAGACAACTGACGAAAACAATAATCCATGATCTGTAAACTGTTTAAATATGCTGCCAGCTTTGGGTTTCATTTCGATAATTCACTTACACATAATTTGCCAATAAATCAAATTGTGCAGCATTAATTGATGCTCGTTTACTCGTTTTCGAGTCGTTTGGGTTTGGGTTTGGGTCGGGCATAAATTACAACTTTTTCAGGACAACAGGTGCCCACACAGACACACAGCTTCCCCCTGCGCATCTTCATTGTCAATTAAGTTATTAGTTCAGAGCAATAAAACTGTCACGGCCATAACAATATTAACATAAAGCGTACATAAATTGAGCGAAACTTTCGCAATAAATGTATCTACAAATGTCTAGAGAGTGCGTGGCTGTGGGTTGTGTGTCGCTGACAGCAGCAGTCCGGTGCAAAGGAGACTTGCCCGCTTGGTCAAACAAATCAAGTGAACTGGGGAGCAACATCTGGCCAGGGTATACATTTAATTAACAATTGACAGTCGCCTGACAGTTGGCTAAGCACACAAAAGAACCCGAGGGACAGGAATTACACAAATACGAGACAGATAGGGCTATTAGATATCGATGGTGCTGAGTGGTTCCGCTGTGGAGCTGCAATGGGAATTAGAGAGCAGTTTAATAATAATACAAATATATATTTAAGGTGTCCACAGAGCATTAAGCAACAATATTTCTATGCATACGCATCTACAAAATAATCCCTAGAAATGCCAGCAATAATATCTATCAAACTACCCATAAAATCCGCTTGTAAAAACTAGTTCCAACGCTGGAACCCAATGAGACAGCACTAATAAGACCTGAACACGAAGAGAAATGACCCCAAAAAGTTTGCGGTTTTGGCCATCAATAAAAGTTGGCTGGCACATCCCCCCATCCACATATGAGCCTCCTCATTCGAATCCGCATCTTATCTGCTCGCACGACCATGACCATGCCCATGCCCCCTGGCCGCAGTAAAGGTTCTTTTTGCTTTGGGCCAGCATTTCCATCACTTGCTTTTTGCTCCTGTGTAGTTTTACGTACGAGTATCTGGGTGTTTTTTGTGTGTGGACAGTTTTGTTTCCTGTCAATGGTTTTGTCACTTTTCACACGTGTACTTGTATGCACATATTTAGCGAGAGGAAAAGGCCAAAAGGGCGCCCGCATTTTTGTTGTCACGTTGTGGTTTATGTACACATTGCCCGGTCGGAAAAGCGGAAAAGTATCCCGAAACTAACTGTGATTCATGTTAAACATGCGCTTTTCCTCCACACACACCCCAACACTCACAAATACACTCACTCATGTGTAATGCGAATACGTGGAGTCATGTGGGTGTCCGCCCCCACATCTGGCATTCTGCACCCGCATCCCCCATTCTGCACCCGCATTCATACGTAACATGCATAAAGGCAACACTCACAGAAAAGTTCACGCTTATGGCCGACACACAGAACGTTTTTATTTCTACTTTAGTTTTAGCTGTCCTTTTTTACAGCTTTCGGGAACTTTTGCATATGTTTTGCAAACAGCAAGACAGAAAGACAACCATGGAGAAACTATGTATTATGAATATTATATTTAGGACATGTTGCAAGTGCGTTAATGAGTTTTTTGTGCTCGTTTCCTATCCCGGATCTATGTAATTAGTCGCTCATAGAACTCAACCGACCCCCAGCTGTAGCCATTAATCACAAGGCTCACCCACTGACAGGCGCACAGGCGGACGAGACCGACGAAGGAACTGGCCAAAGTTGACACAGATTTGACCTGTAAGGGGTGTGGCCAAAGGAAATTTATATTCTAGCTTACATGATAGTTGAATGTGGATAATGTTAGCATTAGTTTAGGGTTCAGTGAACCATTACTTATAGATAAATTAATTATTCAATCAAAAATGTTGCTACAGTTGATAAACGCATTCATAATCGCTGGTAATTCCATAATTGATTCGGGCAAACATAGTTCTCGCATAACAAAAGTTAACAAACTGCCAGAACTATTCACTTAAATCAATTAAGACTTGAACATTTAATTGGTTGTCAAGAAAGGTCAGCACTCGAAGGGATGTGGTAATAGAATTGCTAGCTAGCGATTAGGAAATAGAATAATCAATGGAGTAGAGCCAAGAATAAATGGTCTTTTTGAGAACATTTCCAACACATTCCACACAATCTCTCATTGGATCATGCCCTATGGAATTTCCTTACAACTGTGGGGTTTACACTCTGCAAACCAATTAACCCATCGAATGATTGCGGAACTGAATCAGCACCCAAGATTTATCAAACATCCATCAAATGTTGAGCCAAAAGTGAGCTGCAGTTTTGGCAGAAGTAAATTTACACACATTCATACATATGTATGTATCTTTGATGTAAGCAAAAATTCAGTTTCCTTTTGGAATTTTTGGAGGAATTTCCGTTTGCAGTCTGGTGTTCGCCTACCGATGTCCGAAATCAATACAAACTCGGACTCAATCAAACATTTCCCCATCTGCATTCCGGTTCAGTGCTCTCCGTTTTTGCTCCAGTTTGGTTGTTTGCCATTTGCCCAATCACAGATATTTCTTTTTATCAATTTTCACAGAACTCTCTTACACTTCCCCTCCTCACTCTGGATGCCAGCTGACCCTCTCTCTTCGGACCAGTGCGCTGTGCAGTTTATTTTGCAATCAAATTGTTTTTATCACATCCGCACAACTAAACTGTAAACATTTGCAAGCAACACTTTTGCCAGTTCCGGGTTTTCTCTAGAAAAAATGTTCCCTGTAAATCTAGAAAAAAAGTATAGGGAAATGCAAAAATGAATATGATGCAGGGCCCAGGAGTGGACTCAAAGTTGGGAGAGCTTGAGTATTGTTTATGATCATAACAGCTGCTTGCAATGAACACAAAATATTTAACCTAAGAGGATGACGTGTCACACTTCCTATATCCAGATCTACATTTACTCGATTCTGCACTCAGAATAATGGTGCCTATGGCGTGATATAACTCATCCTATGATAATTATCATTTAATAGATCAAAATTTCACTCTCCCAAGCCTAATGTACCAACAATAAATAATTCATTAAATGGTCAAATCCCATTTCAAACCAATCCGCCCCTGGACACAGAAAGGCTGGCACGCAAAGCAAAATAGAAGAAGAGAATGTTAAAAAAGAAAAATCCGACCAGAGGAACTGCAACCCAAAATTAGAAAAAACGAACAGAGGAGACGACCGACACGCAGTTAGAGAGAGAAAGAGAGGGGCGCTACAAATTGTTTCGATGAAGGCAAAGAAATTTGCAATCAAAGTTGAGAGAGATTCTGCTGCTCCTCTACACATCCGGGGTATTTTTTCTGTAGTTGGCAGTTGTTTGGTTTTTGGCCACATTTAACTTGAATTTGCGGAACGCTGCAAGATGGAAAATCAAACCGAGGGCGAAATCAATTAATGGCTCGGCGGGGAAAACAGTTGCAAAGCTCCGCTTCGCCCCCAATAATTGTTGGTTGGAAAGTTTACAAACAAGTTCTGTGAATGGAATGCCGTATGCGAGCGAATTTTGTTGTGGAAATTCATGAAAATTTCAATCGCTTTCCATTTTGCGGTAAGCTGCTTAAATGCGCCTTTGATCCACAGAGTGGTCGGGACCCCAGGACCCGAACCAGCATGCCCAGACCTCGACCGAAGGCAACTTTTGACCGTCAACGTGATGAGCATCAAAAGCGTATTCAAATCCAATGCCAGAAAGTGACACACAGGCAGGAGGCAGGGAGTTCAGGAGAAGTTGGCCAAACATACAAATTGTCGAGCCGCATTTACAATGAGAACGGGGAGGTCAGAGGGTGGCAGACAGTCGCTGGGGTAGTCATGCACACAGAGCCACAGACCCGGATTGGGCCTTGTACTTGGCATCGGTATGGGACTGAGCCTGAAGCTTTTGGAGCGTGGACAATTTAACAATCTTATTTATTTATGAAAGCCAAAATGCACTTCGATTGTCCGACAATGGAAGATGTGACCAAAATTCAATTTCGATCATCAACTTATTGATGGCCATTAAGCCAATTCCAGGCGCAGTCACGTGTCCACAGACTTGAATCAATAATCTGTGGACAAATTGCTAAACAGAACGATTTGAAGATGGCAAAAGGGATAATGGAGCAATCCCTTCTAGAATTATAATCCATTAATTTCTTAGCTATTGTGTTACATATTGGTAATTTTTATGAACCAATCCCCATGGCAATCTTTTTTTTCCCCAATTTAACTAAAATTTTCAAGGCGTTACAGTCTTAGATGGGCAATTTTTCAATTAGTTTTACGCCACACCAATTCCACCTCTGTCTCGGGTTCTGATTCCCAAACTGTGTCAGCCACGCCCATGGCACACTCACGCCCACTAAAAGAAAAAGAATATGAGTGCAACAGCCAGCAGAAAAGGTAGCAAACAGGAGGCAGGTTAATAACCGGCATGCCACGAAAAATTAATAGCAAACCATTTAGCCGAGTTTTTGCGGCCAAGAAGGAAATTCCCATAGCCAGCGGCAGTAGTTGGTGGTGTTGGAAATTATGCAGCAGACAGCGACAGACACCATTAGGGGGCAGTAAATGGAAATGGGAAACTTTGACTTAATTTGCAGCTAAGAATTGGCTTTGAGAGGTGCGAGTGTGCGAGTGTGCGAGTGTGAGACTTGCAATTTAATTAACAGAGAGCCAGTTAGACAGGCAAACTAAGCCAATGGTCTCATTCCATAAGACAAACCCCTTAAACACACACACAGACAGGAACACACACACAGTCAGACACATGCAGAGAATGTGACCCTTGAGCCCCCTGTGGAACCCTTGTTCGACCAAAATAAAAGTGCTTCACTCAAGTGGTGCACGCAAAATAACTTAAAAGCCGCAAAGTGGCTGGCAAAAACTATTTACGTTTATGCGATAACAACAGTGAAGAGGGTCCTTTGCCTCAGACCATCTTTCAGATACATGGAAGGGTGTCACGGGGTATCTTGCATGAAAGGTGTGGATATGTTTCGGGCTTTAGAGGGTGCGAATAAGGCAGTAGCCTTACCTTCAAGTTAATGTTCCATCTGTTTTATTTACCGCATTATTGCATACTTTCAGGCGCGGACCACATTCTCCAGTGTGCGTGTCGTGTGCGTGTGCGTGCGTGTGAGTGTGTAGAGGGAAGCGTAAGAGTAAGTTAGTGTGTGTGTGCAGTTATGTAATTATGGTAATTAAAAACGCGAAGCAAACGTCGCTTGTCGGGGCTCCGCCGTTTGTCTTGTCATCGTATTTCATATTTAAGCACCTTTTGGCTTTTCCTAGTTGAACAAAGCCATAGACAGAGCAGAGGCTCCCCAGCACACAGACAGACAAACAGACGTCTCTGTCACAAACACAGATACTGCCACCCTTAAACATTCGCCATTTACATGAATAATATTACAGGGCATGGGTGAGAGAGAGAGAGAGGCCTAGTCTGTTTCCCCCAACAGTATTATGATTATTTTGTTATAAATTGCAGCTGTCTCACTTTGCCAGACTCCTACACCCACCCCATACAATTATCAATTAACAATGCTAATGAGTCTCCACTCTGTCTGAAAAGTGTGCAATCTCCTTGTCACGCCGAGAGGTGTTGAAACTGAAATATCCGCTTAAATCTGGCCATCGGGTATTATTGCTCTGCACTTTAACCGAAATCAAAATTATCCGCAAAAGAAAATACACATAAAATGTGTGTGTTTAATTGTAAAAATAACACATCAGGATTATTTATTTCCCAATGCACAATTAATGCCTTTAAGGCTTCCGCGATTAACCTGGAACATACAATTTATTACAGCATAAAACGAACAATAAATATGTTAAAGATTTAAATGGCAACAGAAACCAGCGAAAAAGTTGACAGAAAATAGCAGAAATTTAAGGCTTTATTATTTGTTTCGCGGTAAATTTAATGTTTAATATAATGAAACTTTAGTCTTTTTTTTTGTTCACCATTTTATGTCTGACCCATTTCTCCTTCAGGTGTTGGATCAACAGCTTGCACAGATATGCGCACAAAAAAACACTCGAAACATAAAAAATTATTACCTAATATCATTAGGAAATTCAAAACATTAGCAATTCAATTCGCTTTGCTGCCTTCCCCCGCTCATTAGCGTTTAAATAAATATAAATCAGCAAAACTAATAAAATGAAAAATAAATATGTTGAAATATCAATGTGTCAGACCTTCCTGTTTATATTACAAATTATATAAAATATCAAATAGCCAAAGAGGAGAAACCATAAATATGAAATGTACATATGTACTGATGGTTTTTATCCTATTAACTGATTGCTCTTTGTGATTTTATTAGCAAATATTTGAAATTCTTCCACTTATTGTACATCAGACAAAAAGTACCGATTGAATTTACATTTTAAACAACCAATTCAATACCCATACAAGACTGCCCTCTCCGTGCCCCTTCTATACTCTATGTGTGTACACTGACATATTATTTTCATTACAATCAAATGTGCTCACATTGTTTGCAGTTTCGGATTAACCTTTGCCCGTGTCTCCGCACATTGATGGCCACCTAATCCCCCGCCGCAAATCCCTGAATGCTGACAATGTTACACGACACCTGTTACTCCACTACCAGCACGCATCGTTGGGGATTCCCATTCCCTCCCCCACTCGAACAACCGATGCCATTGCTAATGGTTATGGCTTTTGGCCAGACGCATAAACCACAATTTGTGGCTAATACTGGCGCCACAAACATCGATGCCGACACCTCTAAAATCGAATCGAAAAGCTTTCCCTTTTTTTTCGACTGGTAAACAGTAGCAATAGCGTTAGAGGCAGAAACAAACAAACATACTCTTAAGTATTCCACCTTTCACACGATTCCCTCGAAAGCATGCGAATGGTCTCATTAGGAGCGTCCGCTTCTTGCCCGAAAAGAATAAAGCCAAAACGAAAACGAGTCCGAAACGAAACGAAAGTACAAATCAAATATGCAAAGTGCGGACACCCACTGCCGTAATGAGCGAAGTCTCTCTCCGACTCTCTTCAGATGCGTTGCAATTAATCAGTCACGAATCTATTACCGAGCGAAATCGGGCGACAAAAATGTGTGTTTTGATTATGCGGTGATGGTATTTCCAAACTGTAATTATTTTCTTTGCCAGTTTGTTTTCTTGCCGTTAACATTTAGGCCATAATTTCACATTTAAAGCGATTAAATTTCGCCTGCTGACAGCTCTTGTTATGTGCCTACAATTACTCTTGCTTATTTATTGTATGTTACACTTGCAAGGGGTATGATGACTTATGGTAGCCTTCCTTTAGTTGCGGTGTGGCTCTTGTAATTAATTTGCAGCTGGTCTCAGGTGCGTATGATTAATATGACACCAATTAGCAGCAGCAGCGGCAGCAGCAGCAAGCGCAGCGGTAGAAACTACACACAAAATGTAGTTATCTTGATCGGTTGCCTCTCGACTAAGCATAGAAATTATTCAATTATTACTTGTTAAGGAAAACGACAAACACTCGTAAAACTATCCAGCAAATGTGCAAAACTCTTTACCAAACTCAAGGCAGCGCAAATATTTGCTAGTTAAGCATTTCTACGTGCCTAAATATACTTCTATGAGTGTCTTTTTTTTGTTTTCTGTCTACAATATTTATTTTGCTTACCATTCAGAGGCAGTAATAATAATAAATTTGACATCACAGCATAAAATTACCGGCAACAGCTGCTGAATGTAAGCCTGGAATCAAGCCTGAGCTCATCGTGCCGCTTAAAACCGAGTTGATTGATAAACATTGTATGCTGATAGCATTGACCCGTGCGAGTCTCCGACCTACTGATCAATTAATAGCACAAATAATGAGTGATCCCCGAGCAGCAGTCGAAGCTCTTTGGCGTTGCGTTTGCCCAACGTTTGCAATTTGTTGACTGAAGCTCTGCTGCTGCTCGTACCTCCATGGAACTCCAGTCCCGTCGGACTCCAGAGTCAGCCTCTGCCTCTGCTCTCGAGCTTCAGCAAACAGCTACAGCTTCAGGTCTCACTTTGGTGGTAAATGAAGCTCGCTTGGCCTTGTCGCACGCCAGTCTGCCTCTGACATTTGCACGTCGCGCTTGATCGTTCCGCCTGCTTCGCCGCCTCCGACTTCTGTGATATTTCTTTCTTAACTGGCCGAAAGAGCAAGAGCAAGAGTGCCAAAAATACAAAGCCGCTTACAATATCACAAAATTACATTTTTGTCGAGCGAACTTGAGCTGTGATTTATCAAACGCAATGAAAACGGTAATTCAAAGACAAGAATCGGTCCATAAAGAGTGTCGAATCACCCCATCAAAGTGTGTGTTTTGACTGGAACCGATTCCGGTTGGTCACATTTCTCAATTAGCTGATTCAGATCTGCCGATCAATTCGATTTAATTAGATATGCAAATCCCCGTTTTATCGCTTTTTAAAGTTACGATTTGGTTCTATATTTTTGGCAAGGTTTATCGCCAATGAGTATTAAGTAATGTCGAGCATTGACTATAGCTTTCTTTAGACTTTAAATTCACTTTTACCTCTTCCTTTTTTACCTCAAGGAGATTCAGGATATTTCTCTATTCAATTGAACATCTCACAACTTATTGGTTATCCTGTCTATTGGGATAATAAATATCTCGATTATTATTTTCTCTCTCTGCTAAAATTGTCTTTCTAACAGCTTCTTTATTTTGTCTCCCCCTAGCTCTCATCCTTTCTTTCTCCCACACTCAGCCTTGTCCTGCTGCTGGTCTCCATACACTCGTCCTGGGCAGCTCCTGCTCTGCGCTTCAGCGACAATGAGCTGGATGAGCTGGAGGCATATCCCACAACGCCCAGTCAAGTACTGCCCATCCAGCCGCTGCTCATCTATCCGCAGCAACGGGAAAATCTATACCAGGCACGCACCCTGGGGGGCAACGATGACAGGGACATCATTTTCGTGAAGCTGCTGCAGGACAAGTCCAGCGGCTACCGGCCCAAGCAGCAGCGCCTCGTTATGGAGGAGGAGAAGCCCTCCCAACGCAAGGAGCTGGACCTGAAGGACTTCTTCTACGTGAAGGCCCGGACCAACGGGCGCTTCAGTCACGAGCGCCTGAAGGTCTACAGAGTGCCCGAGTTCTACGCCATCAGTGTGTTCCGCAACGGAGATACGTAAGGAGCGAGAATGCGCTGCAACTTAACGATGCACAGAAGTAATTTAAGTTATTTTTAAGAAGCTATAAATAAATACCATACCTCAGGAATGCTTAAGTGCAGCAGGTCTCTTATCAGAGACACTTTGCGGAAGGATTTACACGCAATTTCAATTATTCATCAAAACAAGGCAAAGGCGCTTCCGCTCGGATCAGTCTGCTGAAAGACGGGTGTCAGCGTCGCCATCGCGTTCGCCATCAGCATCAACATTCGCATCAACATGGGCTCAGACATAAACTTTGTTGGGGTCTGGGAGCCACGTCAAACGGCAATTAATAACTGTCACTCAATTGGCGGCTTCGGCGCACGTCGAACTAAAGCTCCAGCCTCAGCTCTCCACCTCCATCTATACTTCCATCTCCAGCTTCGCCAGGCAGCCACAAAGAACTAATCCCTTTTGTCATTGGGCGTCACAGACCGCGGGCCAAAGCATTACGTCAAAATCAAAGAAAGCAACAAAAAGCATAACAAAACATAAATCGAAATGGAAATGCTTTCTACACAAAGTCGAACTGCGAGATACACTCAGAGCAGATCTAACTTTGGTCTAACTTACCAAACCAAACTTCTCATAAGCTTCCATCAAGATCGGCCATCTTTTGAAGAAAGATTTTATTATTTTCTTTTAATATTATTATTTTTTATTGATACACTTTCAGTTTGCACTCATATTTCAACCCAAATCGTCCAGCATAGGCCTCATACCCGACTGAAAGCAATGCGAAATAAGCAAATAAATCACATCCCATTTGAAAATGTTCAACTCTTGTCAGACTTTCGCCGAGAAATAATTGTAGGCCGATGGCTCGTGGCACGTCTGGTGGGGTCTTTAAAATGCAGCCCAGGCATTTGCTCCAGTTGCGCGAGGGTAGACAGATAGAAATTGAGTGTCAATTATGGTAATATAATAATTAACTGCTAATGGGAGCTGCTGGGAGAAGCTCCCCCAACTTGGGCCTAGGGCAATTAAGAGGAGCGCTCTGTCAGTTGACCATCAGACGGGGCGCAATGTTCATGGACATCAGCTCCTGGAAGAGCAGCTTGGCCGCATAGGGCAGGCGCACCTGGGAGATTTGCGTCTTGTTCTTGCAGCCCTTGCACTCGAACGTGTTGTTGCGCAGATTGGCGATGGCGATCAGGCCGCAGAAGTTGCAGATGTGAACACGATACGGATCGGAGACCTCGAAGAGACGCTCCCTGAGGAACTGGGCGGCACCGTGAGAGATCTGGCAATCACGCTCCATCTCACCGAAACGCAGACCACCATCACGGGCTCTGCCCTCCATAGGCTGTCGCACCAATATCTGGACAGGGCCGCGGGCACGTGAATGGATCTTGTCGTCCACCATATGCTTCAGACGCTGATAGTATGTGGGTCCCAAGAACACCTAAAACAGAAGAGGATTTCTATTAAAAGAGAGCTCACAAAGGAATTTGTGTGTGAGAACTCACTTGAGCATTGATCTTGCGTCCTGTGTGGCCATTGTACATGACCTCGTTGCCACGCAAGTGATAGCCGTACTCCTGGAGGAACGTGGAGATCTTCTGCACGTTGACGGCATCGTTGAAGGGCGTGGCATCACCGATTTCTCCCTTATTGGAGCCCAGCTTGCCCTGCAGGCACTCGATTAAATGCCCTATTGTCATACGAGAGGGGATGGCATGGGGATTGATGATGATATCGGGAGCCAGTCCCTCGCAGGTGAAGGGCATGTCCTCCTGTCGATACTGAATGCCGCACGTTCCCTTCTGTCCGTGACGGGAGGCAAACTTGTCGCCGATCTGTGGTATGCGCACAGAGCGCACACGAATCTTGCAGAACTTGTAGCCCTCGCTGTTGAGGGTCAGCATCACCTGGTCCACGATACCCGTCTCGGAGTTACGCAGGAAGGTGGAGGCATCTCGCTTGGCAAACCTCTTAGTGTTGCTGTCCAGCTCGTCGTCGTTCTCCGGCAGGGTGATGGTCTTTCCAATCACCACATCGTCGCCAGAGACACGAATTCCAGGCGCAATGATACCGTCGTCGTCCAGTTTATCGTAGTGGGCATTCCGCATGCCCTGGCAGGTGCCGCGATGTGGTTTCTCAAAGTTCTCCTCCTGATCGCCCACCCGCTTGTTCTCCGAATCCTTGTACGAGCGGTAGAACACCGATCGGAAGAATCCTCGCTCCACCGCCGAGGCATTCAGGATGACAGAATCCTCCTGGTTGTAGCCCGTGTAGCAGAGAATAGCTACAATCGAATTAATGCCAGCGGGCAGCTCTCTGAAGCGCAGATACTCCATGGATCGTGTGGTAACGAGCGGCTTCATGGGATAATACAGCACATGGGCCAGCGTGTCCATCCGCACATGGAAGTTGGTGATGTACACGCCCATAGCTTGTTTGCCTGTAGAAAGAGTAAAGCATAAGACAAAGAATGACACTCCAGTGAGGATTCCTTACCCATAGCACTTTGATAGGTGTTACGCGGACTCTGGTTGTGATCGGGGAAGGGTATAATGGAGGCGCAGACGCCCAGGATCATGGCCGGATGAATCTCGCAATGCGTATAGGTCGTACAGTAGGCATAGTCCTTGTCCTGTTTGAGATCATACGGCGACATGGCAATCATGACCGTCTCCTCCTCCAGGGTGTCAATGTATTCCACCACGCCGGAGGCCACCAGCACCTGCCAGCTGTAGTTGTTGTAATCGCGCTCCTTCAACATCTCCACGTGGGTCTTCTTCAGCAGCAGCGATCCATTCTCGACGATCAGCAGCGGCCGACAGATGCGACCCGCATCCGTGTAGATCCGAATCTCACGATCGCGAATATCTCGGATCATGGACACCTCCGACACGATGATGTCCATCTGGCGACGCAGCTTTCGTAGCGTGGCCATCAGCTGCTCGGGATCACGATGGATGCCCACCCAGCAGCCATTCACGAAGATCTTGGTGGCATCGGCAATCGCCGAGGGTGCAATCTCCTCCAGATTCTCCATGGACCACTCCTCCAAGAACTCCAGAATGGGCGACGGCTGTGAGCCCACGGATATGTAGGCCATGAGCGCCAGATTCTTGACCAAACCGACAGCGGCTCCCTCCGGAGTCTCGGCGGGACACAGCATGCCCCAGAGCGTGTTGTGGAGCTGACGAGGCTTCGCCAGCTTTCCGTCGCGTCCAATGGGTGAGTTCACGCGACGCAAATGGGACAGGGTTGAGGCGAAGGTGAGGCGATTCAACACCTGGGAGACTCCAGCACGCGCCTGATGGGCCTTCTTCTGGTCGCCCCAGTTGCCAGTGGCCAGGGAATAGCGCAGGCCGTCGGTGATGATGTTCGTCTTGATGGCCAGCTCCAGATTGAAGTCCTTTCCGCGATCGATGAACTTCTGTGTGTACATGCGCACCTCCTTCATTAAATTCTTGAAGAGTCCGCGGAAGAGGAACGCCAGCAGAGGACCGGCCAGATCCAGCCGCTTGTTGCCGTAGTGATCGCGATCGTCTAGCTCCCGGCGACCCAGCGAGGCCAGCAGCAGGCGGTGCACCATGTAGCCGAGGAAATACGCCTTCTTGGTCTCGCAGAAATCGGAGACGCCCACATGGGGCAGCATTTCCTTTTGCAGGATCTCCTTGGCGTACTTTATACGCTTGTCCTTCGTCACGCCGGGACGGGCGCCACGCGCTCCAATGAAGTTGAGGGCCACATTCTGCTCCTGCACCACGAAGGCTTCGTCCAGCGATGGCTTAACCATTTCCATCATCTCCGGATCGTCAAAGTCGTAGATGATGTGCTCTAGAATGTCGCGATCAGCCACGAAGCCCAAGGCACGGAACACAATCATAATGGGTATCTCCTGCTTGATGTACGGCAGGATGGCAATGATCCTCTGTCCAATGGCGGATTTCTTGATGTTCTGCGAGCCTCGCGCCATCATGTTCACCCACAGCGTGGAGGTGGGTCGCGAGCTGTGCTCCAGACAGGATCGTATCTCCGTCTTGAAGGCGTACTTGCCATCCTTCATGCTAAACACGTACACGGTGTTCGTGGCCATCTTCTCCTGGGCAATCAGCACCTTCTCGGAGCCGTTGATGATGAAGTAACCGCCGGGATCCAGCGGGCACTCGTTCAACTCGGTCAAATCACGATCCGTCAGCTGGGAGAGTAGGCAGTAGGTGGATCTCAGCATTATGGGAATCTTGCCAATGAAGGTCTTCTGGTGCTGCGTCTCCACAGGGTCCATGCCTTCCACATTCTTTGTCTTTGTAATGTCCACATAAAGGGGGGCTGAGTAAGTGAGGTTTCGCAAACGCGCCTCGTTCGGCATCATGGGACTGGGCGAGCCATCCTTCTCCCAATGCGTCGGCTTCGACAGATAGATCTGTTCGAACTTCAGCGAGAATCTCGGCGGTGTCTCCACCTCCCCAGATGTGTGCTGTGCCTCTGCCTGCAGCTCGATGGCCGGCGAATCCTCCACAATGCGCTGCACAGACATCTGAATGAACTCATCGAAGCTGTCCAGCTGCTGTCGCACGAGACCCTTCTCATCGAAGTACGCGTTGATCACGATCCAGCAGGCCTCCTGCCACAGCTCGTGGGAGATCTCCTCTGCATTCTCCTCCTCGAACAGCTCTGCAATGATATATTTATTATCAACAAATCAAGGAAAAACGCGAACGGAGCGCTAGTGCTCCATCGCCGCCATGTTAGTTTTCATTTTGCAGCCGCAGCAGCGTGCCTTGTGGCATCTTTTCTTCGCACCTTCCTCGTTGTCGTACATCATTTTGTCGATTTTGCTCGAGTGCACTAGCACTTAGAGCGTATTAATAAATATTATTAAGTCGATTTAATCTTATTAAAACTAGTAAAAAACACAATATTTCACAACAAATGTTCGCAGAAACCGCATTCGGCGGCGTTTTGTTTTGAAGTGTTGGTAAACGCGTAAAACAACACCATTATTTTGTTTTAAACTGTAAAAATTTATGCACAGTTAAATTTTATCTGTGCTAAAATAGATATTTTAATAATTAAACATCAATAATATATGCAATATATTTTAATTTT